ATATTTTATAAGGTTGCATAGAACAAAATAAAATATACATATAAATGCAAATGAGTAAGTAAAACTAGAGAAATATGAATAAGATTAATATGTTGTGTTAATGTTGGAATTATGGGTTTGACATTGTACAATTATTTTGCAAGCTGTTACCATTGGAGAAAACTTACTAAATGGTACAATAACCTCTCCATATTATTTCTAATAACTGCACTTGAATCTACAACTATCTCCAAATACAAAATTTAGTGTAAAACTCTTCATTAGATACATATTCATACATAATGCTCAATCTGTCTTGGTTAGGAAATTTTCTTATGAACGAGCTTCCCATATGAGTGAAGACTTCTTACGAGTCCACCTTCTAATGCTCCTTAACCTTCTGCCATCCTACACTGGCATTCTGAAAGTAGAGCAGGAGGGTGATAAATCCAATGCTCCTTACAAATTTAACCCTCCTCTACTAAAGCTATGGAATTTGTTCTACTAAAGTATTTTAATTTCTTTTAAAAGTCTTTTAAAGGAAACATTTAAACTTAGTTGATTGTACAAATGGTGAATAAATAATAATGAGTACCATAATCGAGGGCCGGTGCTGTGGCACAGCCTGTAAACCTGCCACCTGCAGTGCCAACATCCCATATGGGCGCCGGTTCGATTCACAGCTGTTCCACTTCCTATCCAGCTCTCCACTATGGCCTGAGAAAGCAGTGGAAGATGGCCCAGATGCTTGGGCCCCTGCATCCATGTGGAAGACCTAGAAGAAGCTCCTGGCTGGCTTTGGATTGGCCCAGCTCTAGCTATTGCAGCCATTTGGGGAGTGAACCAGCAGATCAAAGACTTTGCTCTCTGTCTCTCCTTCTCTCTGTCTGTAACTATGTCTCTCAAATAAATAAATAAAATCTCAACAAAAAGAACCATATTGATAATGTTGATGGTAGCAACTGACATGATGTGGATCATGATGATGAAGAGGAGGAGGATGGTGATGATGTTGATGATCGCGATGGTGTTGTTTGCAATATAATATTCTAATACTGGCATAAGACATCAAGTTTCCCTAGCTGAAGGATGACTCTACTAATAAAAGAAAAATAAGCACACCTGGGAGACAAAGCGTGATTCTCAGAGCAGGTGTAAACAAGACACTAATTGCTTCTGCAGTGAGGAGCCGTGTCTCTGGAGTAACTGCATCCCAGATGATGTGCTGCCCCAAAATATACAAACAGGAACTCAAGACTCCAAATACCTGCAACCTATTTCCATGACTGTGCTGGCCCCTTTGAGTAAATTTAAGGCTAGGTAAAAATCTATGTTTCTCATATTTGCTGACTATTGAAACCAAAGCCTTCTCTACAGTTTTTATGGTATGGTATGGTATGGTATGGTATTCATTTTCCTTCTGCACAGGTGTTTCATTACAGTTGTGAAGCAGTGGTCTGAGGCAAGTATTTTTCCAGTGACTTTTGTGTGTACTGCTAGCTGTTTACAATGAAGGATACCTTCATCATTTAGAGTGTTTTTCTCTCTGTGCCATGTGCTCTTCACCAATCCTGAGCCTGTGAAACCTAGGTTAAACTTACATAATAACTGCAGTAATTGATATAAAATACGGGGATGATATTTATCTAATTTATATTGGTAGATTGTGGGAGTGAAAAATTAAATCAACACTGCCTAGGACTCTCCTCTATAATGGTGCTGCATTTGCACTGCACTGAGTTAATGGCTTTCACTTGCGCTGCCCTGGAAAGCACTCTGATGTATGGTATCGATTATTTCAGGTGGATTTTCTTTGATTCTCATCAAGGTTAGAATCAGATTGTGCAAAGGGGATAGGTAAGGTTTTAATCTATTGTTATCTAGAATAAGTTTTGGCCTTTGAAACAAGTGGAAATGGTATTTTAAAAGCTTAGCTATCTCAGATATTAGCTATCATAAAGCCAAATAACCCACCACTAATGATTTAACCTACAATGTAGAATGCAATGAAGACTTTCTTGTACACAAATCACATGCTATGGTTTTAAAGATTTTTTTCTAACATCTACAAAAAATAAACAGTACATGGAGTTTCAGTTGTTATTATTACTATAGGAATCAAATGAGACAGTATCTTTAAAATAATGTTATCTTAAAAATAGGTTTCAAAATGTTTTTGCAAAAAATAATATGTGTGTGTATAAACAATTGTCTGCATAGAAAAATCTGGAAGGCTTCTCACTACCAGTGTTAACTCTAGTAGCAGGATAATGGATCCTTTTTAATTTTTTCTTATTTGCATTTCTAATAAACTTAAATGCAAGTATATTGCCTTTCCAATTTCAATATATGACCCAATATAAGGAATAAGTTTTTTCTACAGTTCCAAAAACTTAATAATAAATTAATTTTGGTAAATGTTAAAAAATGCCACACAAAAATAAGCTGCAGTAGGATAATACACTTTAGAAGAGTCAAAAGAGATTGGTGGTCATAAATCCTGGGTTGTAAGCCCACTGCTGCACTGGGCAACTTATTTAATTTCTAAAGCTTCAATAGCCTAGAGAGAGAGAAAAAAGAATAAACAGTATTTTTTTCAAAAAAAACTTTCAACAATAAAAATACACATTTATGGACTACATTGTGATATTTCAATACATGTATGCAATACATGTATGCAATTATACTAATCAAAATGGGATAATCAACATTTTCCTATCTTTGACATGATTTTTGGAGGCTTGGAACTTCTTTTTTCTATTTGTTCTTGTTCAATTCTCTTTTCATTCCTTTGTGGTATGCGAAGATACATGGTTTGTTTATTAATTTACTGAGAATTCATGTGAGATCTAATATATCTACCCTTAAAAATGTTTCATGTGCTGAAAAGAATAATTTGTGCTCTGTAGCTATTGGGAGAAATGTTCTGTCTGTTGAAGTTCCATACTATTATTGTATTGGGATCGACTTATCCATTGTGTCCACTAATATTTGCTTTTTATCTTTGGGTGGTCTTGTGTTGGATATGGTTGTATTTTTTTTTTTTTTTTTTTTTTGCTGAATCAATCCTCTTACAAATATATAATGAGCTTGTCTCTTTTCACAGGTTTTTATTTAAATTCTGTTTTATCTGCTACTCTGTATAGCTGCTCCAGCTTGCTTTTGGTTTCCATTTGCATGATATATTTTTTCCATCCCTTCACTGTCAGTATTTGAGTGTCTTTACCTGTGAAGTGAGTTTCTTTTTGAAGTATATAGTTGGGTCTTGTTTGTTTGCTTTGCTTTGTTTTGTTTTGTTTTATTCATTCAGCAAACCAGTATTTTGAAATATTTTCTCCCAATCTGTCATTTATCTTTTCACTCTGTTGGTTGTTTCCTAGCCTGTGCAGAAGCTTTAGTTTCATAGAATTCCATTTATTTTTCCTTTAATTGGTTATGATTTTTAAAAAATGAATACCTTGGGATAATTTAACCAAGAATATAAAAGAACTCTACAATGAAAATTACAAAATACTAATGAAATTGAAAAGCCAAAAACATATGGAAAGACCTCCCATGTTCATTAATTAGAACAGTATCAAATGTGCAAAGCAATTTACATATTCAACACAATTCCCATCAAAATACCAACGACATTCTTCATAACATTAGGAAAAGCAATTCCAAAATTCATCTGAAAACACAAATACAAAACCCAATAGATAAAACAATCCTAAACAATAAAAACAAATCCACTGGTATCACAAAACCAGATTTCAAGACGTACTACAGGGCTACTGTAGCCAAAACAGTTTGTTATTGACATAAAAATAGACAAATAAAGCGATGAAAGGGAATAGAAATCCTAGAAATAAATCTAGGCATCTACAACCAATTTATCTTTAACAAAGGTGCTAAAAGCACTCCCTGGAGAAAGGACAGTCTCTTCAATAAATGATGTTGAGAAAACTACATTCCTACATATAGAAATCTGAATCAAGACCCCTATCTTAAATCCTGTGCAATAAAGCTTTTTAAGTTAGGAAACTGATCCCACAGATGATGATGACTATATATCTTTTCCAGCAAGGAGGAACTATACATCCTAGACATGTCTGTCATTTGCATACTTTGTCTTTGGAGATGTAATAGTGTCAAAGTTTGGTACTATAATCTAAAAATAATAAGAATTATCTATTGAGCACTGTGTACAATATTAATGTAAGAATATCCATAGTGTACTACACACTAATGAAATCAGAACTTCTCTGGGTAGAAACCAGGAAATCAATATTTGTATTTTATATTATGATATAATATATATATAATATATAAAATATATAATATATAATATATATCATATATATATAATATATATGATTATATATATTATAATTATATATATAATATATAATATATATAATATATATAAATTATATTATTATAATTATATAATACACAGCCAGCATTGACAGAAGCTGACTTATAGCCTCAAGCCCAGTGAAAAATTAAGAACAAATTCTAGACACTTAACAAAAAACTCACAATTTTATGAGAAATCAGCATATGAAAAAAATTTATTATATTTAATTTTTTTTTTTTTTTGGACAGGCAGAGTTAGACAGTGAGAGAGAGACAGAGAGAAAGGCCTTCCTTCCGTTGATTCACCACCCAAGTGGCTGCTACAGATGGCACGTTGCGGCCAGCACGCTGCGCCGATCTGAAGCCAGGAGCCAGGAGCTTCCTCCTGGTCTTCCATGCAGGTGCAGAGCCCAAGGACGTAGGCCATCCTCCACTGTACTCCCAGGCCACAGCAGAGAGCTGGACTGGAAGAGGAGCAACCAGGACATAACCAGCACTCCATCCAGGACTAGAACCCGGGGTGCTGGCAACGCAGGCAGAGGATTAGCCTAGTGAGCCACGGCGCCGGCCTATATTTAAATTTATCAAGATGTCTTATCTATACAACTACCTATTACTAATTTTTACAACCTTCAGATATAGAAATTGACTTGTCACTCAATGATACAGCTTGTAACTAACATATATGCCCTGGTACTGCACTAATTTGAGATAGAATATCTAATTGTCATAATCAGGAATTATGCATATTTAGGAATTATGTAAATGATGGGAAATTTTCTGAGGAATTGTCCATCTCCAACAAAACTACAAAACTGAAGTTTACTAGATATCAGGCAGAGGTTCTAAATTCCTCAAGAAGTTCAAGACTTTCACAGGGTTCGACTCTCCCATCCCCACAGGGCTACCAGCTAGAGGAGAATGGCTGCAGGAAATCACTCTGCAGTGACGGAGTTCACTCTTGGGGGACTAACAAGCCGCCAAGACCTCCAGATCCCCCTCTTTCTCCTCTTCCTAGGGATCTACGTGGTCACCATGGTGGGCAACCTGGGCATGATCACTCTGATTGGCCTCAACTCTCAGCTTCACACCCCCATGTACTATTTCCTCAGCCATCTGGCCCTCGTGGATCTCTGCTATTCCTCTGTCATTACACCCAAGATGCTGGTGAACTTCGTGTCAGAGGAGAACATCATCTCCTATGCTGGGTGCATGTCCCAGCTCTACTTCTTCCTTGTTTTTGTCATTGCTGAGTGCTACATGCTCACGGTGATGGCCTACGACCGCTATGTGGCCATCTGCCACCCCTTGCTTTACACCATCATCATGTCTCACCCTGTCTGCTCCCTGCTGGTGGCTGCAGTCTACATCATGGGATTCATCGGCTCAACAATAGAGACTGGTCTTATGTTAAACCTGTCCTATTGCGAGGCCCTCATCAGTCACTACTTCTGTGACATCCTCCCTCTCATGAAGCTCTCCTGCTCTAGCACCTATGATGTCGAGATGGCAGTCTTCCTTCTGGCTGGATTCAATATCATACTCACCAGTTTAACTGTCCTTGTTTCCTATGCCTTCATCCTGTCCAGCATCCTCAGCATCAGCACCACAGAGGGCAGGTCCAAAGCCTTCAACACCTGCAGCTCCCACCTGGCAGCTGTGGGGCTGTTCTATGGATCGACTGCCTTCATGTACTTAAAGCCATCCACAGCCAGCTCCCTGGCCCAGGAGAACGTGGCCTCTGTGTTCTACACCACAGTGATCCCCATGCTGAACCCCCTGATCTACAGCCTGAGGAACAAGGAGGTAAAGGCTGCCGTGCAGAGAACACTGAGGAGAAAACTGTATTGATGCAAATGCTATTGCTCTTTCTCACTTTGAAAATAAACACTAGAGGGAAGTCCTCTGAACACCAAGCTAACCATAAAAGAGAAACTACTACTTCTTCAAATGATTGGGAGATTGGCTTCTGCCTTCATTCTACCCTCTTCTCCCTTCCCTGCACTCATTTCTCTTTGAAACTAGCCAATTTCAACTTTGTGGTTTTCCTTCATTTGGGAACCATTTCTCCTATCAAGTCCTTTGGTAATTTTTTACTCTCTTAATTGTAATTGGACATCATTTTTTAGACTTTCAACATTGAATTCTAGAGCCATTCCTAGTTCTCAGATTTTATACACAGATAGCATCTCTCAACTAAATCCTTACTTATTACACTGGGAATGCATAAAACAAGGAGGTGAATTTAAAAGTCATCAAGAAGTGACATACAGTCCCTTTCTCATCCAGACATCTTCCTCTCCTGTCTGCTCTCTGCTTATTCATGCCCAAGAATGCCTACAGAATCCATTTATGTAATTTTCTTAGTCGTAGTATTAATAATGATAGCGACTGTGAGTCTAATTGGAGATCCTCTGAAAATAATCTGGCACTTCTCTCATGCACATTTTAGAATCTTTTCTTTATGTTTTACTGTGGAAAGTTTGACTACAATGTGTTGTGGTGAAGATCTTTTCTGGTCATGCCTGTTAGGACTTCTATGTGCTTTCTCTACTTGGACGTCTCTTTCTTTCTCCAAATTGGGCAAGTTTTCTGTAATTATTTCACTAAACAGGCCATCTAGTCCATTCCCTCTTTCTACCCCTTCAGGAACTCCTAAGACCTGTATGTTGGGACTTTTGATAGTACCCCATAAATCTCCAACATTCCAACACTGTTTTTAGCTTTTCTATTTTCCTCTTGGGGTTTTTTTTTTTTTTTCTGTCTGACTGAAAGATTTCCAAAGATTGTCTTCTAGTTCAGATATTCTTTCTTCTGCCTCATTAAGTCTGCTGTTAAGGCTTTACATAGCATTTTTATCTGATCTATTGAATTCTTCATCTCTAATATTTCATTTTGACTTCTCTTTAAAATCTCAATTTCAGGAGAAAAATTTTCATTCATGTCATGTATGGTTTTCTTTAGTTCGTGGATTTGCTTCTGGTTGCTTTTGAATAATCCTATCATTAATTTTTTGGATTCCTTTTCCGACATTGCCTCAGTCTTCTCATCTTCTCATTCTAACATTGAAATGTTGTTGTGTTCCTTCGGGGCGGGGGGGGTGTTATAATGTCTTCTTTATTCTTGTCTCTTGAATTTCTGCATTTATTTGTAGTTACTTGTGGAGGTTTTTTTCCCTCTGATGGCTTTTATCTTTGAGCTGTTCCTCTGTGGTTTAGTGGAATGTCTGCACTTTCAGTGAATACCAAGAGATGTGTGGTAGGTGTGGCCAGAGAGCTCTGGTCAGTGCTCCAGGATAGGGCGAGTATCCAGGGTAGCACCCAAGTTGGGAATGGTAGATCTCCTCTTGTTAACAGAAGGAAGGGAATGGTCACCTGTGTTAGTGTGATCACCCCCTCATCTCCTCTCCTCCAAACTTAGCAATGCCGAATGTTAGCCTCCAGTGTGTTCAACACTCATCCATGCCACAATATGAACTGCACAGTCCTCACTGTGAACACAGTTCCCCCTGTAATGACCTGCCCCCAGGCAGCCAAGTGAAATAAGCCAGTCCCAAAAAGATATCATAAGTTTTCTCTGATCCAAGGTAACTGATAGAGTACATAAAATGTAAAATATCGGAGTGAAATGGACAATTTGAGATTTGAAGATTGTTTACAGCTCATGTCTCTTCCATTGAGGAACAGTGTTTTTTTTTTCTTCATACTCTTTTACTTAGGGTAGGGTTAACTAGATAATCATTAAGTAAACTGTAAAAATTAAGAGTGGGAATGTGAGAGAGAGGAGGAAGAAGGGTTGGGGTGGGTGGGAGGGAGGCTGGGTGAGGGGCAGGGGAGTATCACTATGTTCCTAAATCTGTATATGTGAAATACATGAAACTTGTATAACTTAATTTTTTTAAAAAAGAAGAAAAACACCTGGAACATTACAAGCATACATCACTGTATAGTTATTCTCAACACCATCATCATCTCCACCATCATCCTTACCATATTATAATTCTTCTAAGTATATAAGTTTTTATATCTTTGTTGAGTATATGATATAAAGAGTAAATGAGTGAAAAAAAATTTTAAATAGTAATGATAGAAACTAATGCGATTTTGGACCCTTAATCTAAGCCATAAAACTGTTCTAAATGCTTTCTATCCTTCATTAATTGTATATCACTACTGATAGGTACTATTCCAATCTCATTGAACATATAGGAATTTGGCTTAATAACTCGCTCAGAGTAACACAGCTGATAAGTGAACAACACTATAACTCAAACCCTAGTCTCCGTGACCAAACCCTCATTCCCAGGCAGATCATGAAGATTTGTTACCCTCTGTTGCACATCTCTGCAGCATCTTTGCCCTGCCTAAATAACTGATCTACACTAACCCCAAATTCAACTGCCAAAGAATACAATTTCTCCTACCACCTGCTCCAACCACATCAAGGATATATGTTTTAGATGAAGGAACCTGATACAGTGTCACTTATAGCTATTATAGCTATTTTTGGCATAACATTATACCAATTAATGATTTAATATGAGAAACAGATAACTTGTTTTCTTTTGGAAGAGATTTATTTTAAAGCTTTTATTTAATGAATGCATATTTCATAGGTACAATTTTATGAATATAGTGGTTCTTTCGCCCTATACCTGCTTTCCCAACCTCACTCCTGTCCCACCTCCTACTCCCTCTGCCATTCCATTCTTCATTCTGATTCATTTTTGTTTAACTTTATATACAGAGGACCAACTCTATGCTAAGTAATAATTTCAACAGTTTGCACCCATACACACACACAACATATAAAGTACAGTTTGAGAACAAGTTTTTGCAGTTAATTCTCATAATATAACTCATTAAGGACAGAGGTCCTACATGGGGAGTAAGTGCACAGTGACTTCTGCTGTTCATTTAACAATTAACACTCTCATTTATGACATCAGTGATCACCCGAGGCTCTTGCCATGAGCTGCCAAGGCTATGGAAGCCTTTTGTGACCACAGACTCCATCGGTATTTGGACAAGGCCATAAGCAAAGCGGAAGTTCTCTCCTCCCTTCAGAGAAAAGTACATCCTTCTTTGACGGCCCCTTCTTTCCACTGGGTTTACAGAGATCTAGGAAGAGATTTAATGCAGGGATTTATAGACTTAGAGTTTTGTAATTGACTGGAGAAGGGGTAAGGGAATGCCCATGTGACTACAATAGACAGAAACCTGCATGCCAGGATGCTCCTGCTACCTCTGTCACTGCTGCCACTACAGAAGGGCCTTCTCACACCCCTGAACATCGTAAGCAAACCAAAAAACCACAGGCTAAGCATCACCCAGACCTACTGCATTACTGGCTGGGCCCAGCAATCTGCACTTTAACAACCCCTCAGCTGGCACTGATTAAACTGAAGAGCAAGAACCTTCTCACTCCCACCTTCCAAATATCACACAAGTGCATTTATTGGTGAAAATTAGTTGACACACAGAGTTCTACCTGGATATGTAGAAAGCATACTTTCTACCCATGTAATCTGGTTAGAAGCAAAATGGAATAGATATTGAGACGGCCGTTTCCAACTGGCTCCTTTACTCATTTAGGCCTGACCTTTCTCTACCTCTACAGATCTTCTCTAATTAGCATAAAGTATAGAAAAATATTTTTAAAGGTGGAAAAACATTGAAAAAATTAAAAAGTAAATTGTGACTATACAAAAGCTACAATTTTTGCTCAGTAACAAACAACAGAAATAGAGTTAATAGAAAAATAATAGATTGAGCAAATATATCCTAACAGCATATATAATAAACTCCAGCAAATCACAAGAAAAAGACATCGGCATCGACAGAAAAAAAAATGGGCAAGATCCATAGAACATTCAATTTGCAGGAAAGAAAACCTGATATACTACTGAGCATGTGAAGAGGTACTCAGACAGACTACTAAGTATAGAAGTGCAAATTTAAACAGTGACATATCTTTTTACAGCTCTAAGATTGGCAAACGTTAGAAAGCTAGATGGCACTGTGTGCTAGTGAGAGGTGGGGATTTGGGAACCTACATGCACTGCAGCTCTTCTGGAGAGCGCAAGGCTTTCCTTGGGAAAGATAAGAACATGCATCCACAGGACCTATCAATTCCATCCCATTCCCTCAGGACCTTAGGGGGGACATTCTCTATAGCACTATTTTCAGTGATGAGAAATTAGAGACAAGATTGAGAAAGTAAACAGATTGCTGAGGGAAAGATTAAGAAAATCACGTGGAACAAGAAGGCTGACTAGAGGTGCCTGGCACACTTCCCTTCACCACAAAGCACTAAAGGAAGAGAATACAACAGGTATTTCAGTGTAGTGTTTGAGGCAGAGCCCTGCAGTGCAGTGGGGATGGAGGAGTGGCATTGTGCGCACAGAGACACACGACCACATAAAGAAGGGAATTAAGCACACAGTATCTCCTGCCCATCTCTGGAGAGCAACTCTGAACCAAGAGTCGTGAAAAAGGTTAACAGGAGACCCCTCCCCTACCACAGGCTGTCCCAGCTCACACCACCAACCCCTGAAGCATCAGCTGTTGGAGGAGCCTGCAGCTTCCCACAGGCCCTGTGCCCAAGTTTGGAAGTACAGGATTACCTGACTGCTGCACTGACCTGGAAAAACAGTCCAGCCCACGTGTGCTCTCCCCAACCCAAGATCCTGCTGCACAACACCATCTTGAGACTGAGCAGCTGCCCCCAGCAGCTCCACCAGCCCAGCCCTGTGAACCAGCTTCATGGCGCCACGCACACTCACCCAGCCCCAGAAGACACCTGGCAGCCCTCTCTGAGTAGGTAAGATCCCAGAGGCACTGGGAATCAGTTGAGATTCTCCTTCTATCCTCTCTCTGCCCCATCCACCCTGGGCCCTGGAAGCA